TCCTTCCTTCCTTCCTTCCTTCCTTCCTTCCTTCCTTCCTTCCTTCCTTCCTTCCTTCTTTCTTTCCTTCTTCCTCTTCCTCCTTCTCCCCTTCTTCTACTTCTTCTTTCTCCTCCTTCCCTTCTTTTCTTCTTCTACTTCCTCCTCCTCCTCTTCTTCTACTTCATGGCTTCTGTAATCTGGGATGGCTTTGACCTCACTTTGTAGTGCAGGGCTGGCCTTAATCAGATCTGCCTGCATCAGCTTCCAGAGTACTGGGATTCTAGGTGTAGGCATCATGCCTGGCTCTGACCACACTCTTCTTGAATGCTCAAATTACTGTCTCTGGGCTGAGAATCTTGTGCCCCAAAGTGTTTCCAGATGGCAGGACTGTGAGCTTTTTCTGGGCCCTCGAGTGTGGTGGCAGCCTGGGGCTCTGTAGTGATTGTGGAGGACTGACAGTTTCATGGAGTGACGTGGTAGCTCTGCAGGGAAGCCTTGCTGCACCCATCACTGAGAACTGCTGGTTTCAGCCTTGCCTGGTGTTTGGTGCATTACAGAAACTGAGGATGAAAACGGAAGAAGAGAACCGGGTTCACTCGGAGATTGAAATGTTCCTTAAAAAAGAACAGCAGGTAAGGTGCCCAGACATTTGATTCCTCTATTTGAAAAAGCCGCTTACAGCCCTGGAGAGATGGCTTGGAGGTCAAGAGCACTTGCTATTCTTGCAGAGGACCTGGGTTCAGTTCCAGCACCTAAATGTCAGCTCACAGTTGTAACTCCGGGCCCAGGGGATTCAGTACCCTCTTCTGGCCTTCAAGGACACTGAATGTGCACGGCGCACATATATACATGCAGAGAGAACACCCTTACACATAGAGTAAGACGACAATTCCACTTGAGCCTGGCATAGTAGCACTCGACTGTCATCCCAGCACTCAAGAGGCAGAGCCAGATGAATCTCTGTGATTTCAAGGCCAGCCTGGTCTACAAATCGAGTCCAAGACAGCCAAGGCTACACAGAGAAACCCTGTCTCAAAAAAAAAAAATCCACTTTAAAATACAGAGGAGGTCAAAATAAATAATAAACAAATAGAGAAAAGCAATCCCCCCCCAAGAAAAACAAACAAGCACTGTTCCTTGAGGCAGGTTCTGCTCTACAGCTCCAGCTGCCTCAGCCTCCTGAGTTGTTTTCGTTACAGACTGCACAGCCATGCCTAGCACAGTACTTTTTTTTTTTCTTTTTGTTTTTTTGAGATAATGTCTTATCAGGTAACGCTGGATTCTTTATGTAGATCAAGCTGGCCGGCCTTGAACTGGGAAAGGCTGGCCTGCTTCTGCTTCCTGAGTGCTGAGATTAAAGGCAACCTTGCTCAGCTCAAAATACATTTAGTAAAGGAAATTAAAAGCAGCTATCAGACCACCAGGCCGATCAGTGGAGTGCCAAACTCCCTTACGGCCCATCTGAATATAGTACAGAGATCTAACTTAAGGCTAAATCAAGTTTTCTTTTAGCCTTTTAAATTTCACTTGTATAAAAAACATTGTCTGTTCTTACACTGCTTTTTAGCCATAATTGGAAAGGAAAATGCTTTGATTTTGTTTCTTCTTGTGGGGTTCTGGAGTGAACCCAAGGCCCCAGGTGTGCCAGGCAAGCACTCTGCCACTAGACTATGTTCCCAGCCCTCTGTTTGCTGATTTAGTGGTGGTAGTGGTGATGGTGGTGGGTTTTTTTGTGTGTGTGTGTGATTAGTAATAAATATTGCTAATGCTTTTTTCACCATTGTGTGTTGTGGATAAAACCCAGGCACTGCCTAGTCTGTTCTGCTGTTAGTGATGTATGCAGGCTGTAATTTCAAGGCATTTCTCTTTTCAGCATTTGTGTGTGTACGTGTGTGTGTGTGTGTGTGTGTGTGTGTGTGTGTGTGTGTGTGTACGTACGTGTGCATGTATGCACACAGAGCACACAGTTGGAAACTCTAGGATAACTTTGGGGAGTTGGTTTTCTTCATCTATCACGTGGCTTCACCAGTCTTGATGACAAGTGCCTTCAACCTAACACTGAGCCATCTTGCCGGCCCTCAAGGAACCTTCAGAACCAAGCACGTAAAGTATGTTTACTGCCAACTTAAGAGTTGTTTCTGTTGTTGCGTTAATGAGCAGATTGTGGGTTTATTTTTTTTTTAAGATGCATTTATTTATTTATTTATTTATTTATTTATTTATTTACTTATGTATATGGGTGCTCTGGTTTCATGTACACCATAAGAGGGAAGCAGATTCCTTTACAGATGGTTTTGATCCAGTACATGGTTGCCAGGAATTGAACTCAGGACCTGTGGAAGATCAGCCAGTGTGCTTAACCACTGAGCTCTCTCTCCAGCCCTGAAACCTAATGTGGGTTTATTTTTATTTTATTTTATTTGGTGTTTTGGGAGATGTTCTACCATGGACCTTGTGAGTTTTTTTAAGAAATAACTTTACTTTTGGTGTGTGTGTGTGTGTGTGTGTGTGTGTGTGTGTGTGTGTGTGTGTACAAGTGCCACAGCATAGGTGTGGGGGTCAGAGCATGACTTTTGTGGAGTTGGTTCCCTCCCTCCACCTTCATGCGGTTTCTGGGACTCGAATGCAGGTCATTAGGCTTCCGCAGAAGGTCCTTTCATCGGCTGGACCATCTTTTTGATTTAAAGTTTTCAATAGCAGTTCAGTGTGACATGATACCCCTCACTTGGAATCTGCCTAAAAGTAGCTAACTGTTTTCCTTTTGTGGACATTGAGGTTGCTTCCAAGTTTCGCTGTTCGTCACTTCTCCACACGTGCTTGGGCCTTTCCTGAGGCACATGGTATATGGCAAAATCTCTTCAGTTTTGTACGTTGCCTTGGCTTCCTCAGAACATCCCATGTGAGTTCTGTGATTTTTTTCAGTTGGTTCTTTTGGGTTTCCTAGAGAGAGAATTTAATTGGCTGGAGACACTGTTATGTTCTTCCTTATAGCATCATTTCTACATGTTTCCGTCATAGAGCTAACTCTAGTTAAACAGTGTAATGCTGATTAGCACGTTTCTTTCCTTCTCACCTCAGTCTCGCCCTCGCCCCCGCCCCACTCTGTTCCGTACTCACTCCCTTCCTTTTGCTTCTTTTGGTAAGGCATGATCTCATGTAGTCTAGACTCCTGATCCTTTTGTCTTGACCTCGTGAGTGCTAGAATTATAAATGTGGACAGCTGTGTCTGGCTTGGGGCATTATTATTGTTGTTATTATTACCATTTGAGACAGGGTCTCACTGTGTAGCCCTGGCTGGCCTGGAACCTGTAGAGATCTGCCTGCCTCTGTCTCCTGAGTGCTTGGGATGAAATGCGTGAGCCTTCACACGTCTATGAAGTATGATTAAAAAAAAAAAATTCTTGGCTTTAATGGTGTTTGAATAGGATTACACATAAATGGACAGTCGTGCCAAGTTCTCTCATGCAAGTTAGAGCATTTACTGAGAGTGGAACAACTGAATTTAAACTTTTACCTGACTGGTCTGAGGTAAAATGGGCAGGCTTGAACCCCTCATTTTGAGGCCCTCTTACTCGTAGAAATACCCTGCTCTCCTGTGTGTGAGAACAGACTTTCTTTGCCAGAAATCCTCCAGTAGCTTCACCTTAGAAGATGGAGATGCTTTGAAAAGGGGAGCTCCGTCTCAGACCCCACACAGTGTCCCCTGTATCCGCCAGTAGGGTGATGCCTCAGCATGTGGGGGCCTCATATAAAGTTGGGCAACTCACCAGGGAACTGTTTTTCTAGTGTACACTGGCAGAGAGCTGGGGTTGGATCTTGTCAGAGCACTGACCACGTCGGTGCTAGACAGGCTGAGACAGAAAATCTGCAGGGCCGGGTAGGAGACACAGGTATGCTGGCTGGGCATCCGGGACTTCCTGTGGGTGCTGTGCAGCTAGAGGTGCAGTTTAATCTGTTGGCGAATGAGTGCCATTGGGGGTCGCGCACAGCACTGGCTAGCAGCGTGCTCAGGGAACCAGAGCACGGGGTCACCTCCAGGAGACTGCCTGTCCTGCAGCGCCCTCTACTGATGAAGTTTAGTATTTTGCTAGGTGGCCAAAGAAACATTTGCAGTAAGGCCAGGCCATGCAGAATGAACATGGATTGAGGGCCAGTAAGCTGGTAGCCGACCCAAAAGGGGAGGGTTACTCTACAGCTCATGAGTAGCCCTCGTGATCATGCGAATTTTATCATGTTAAGGAATTTTTTTTTATTCAAAGTTTTTTTTTTTTTTTTTTAAAGGCAGCGACTACCCATTTATTTTTAAAAATTTAATTATTTTTATTTTGGGGACAGCATCTCCTTACATAACTCTGGCTGGCCTGGAACTCAATATGGAGACCAAGATTGCTTCAGACTTAGAATTCAGGGTTGCCTCCTGAGCGCTGGGATTAAAGGTGTGTGTCACCACACCTGGCTGAGATGCATTTTTTCATCCATCAAGATAATGTAATTTTTTTCTCTTTTAATATGTTCATAAAGTAAAATGCGCATATGTATCTGAAGTTTATTTTATCTATCTATCTATCTATCTATCTATCTATCTATCTATCTATCTATCTGTCTGCCACATGGAATCCAGAGGGGGGGGGTGTCAGTTCCCCTGGGCCACAGGTGGTTACAGGTAGTTGTGAACTGCTCAAATTCTCAGACCCTCTGCCAGGCCAGGGCAGGCTCCTAACCACTGAGCCACCTCACCAGCCCCTGTAGATCTATGGAAGGCACTAATCCACCTGCTAGCCTGAGTCCCCCTTCATTTTCTGGGATAAGTCCACCTGGGAATGTCATGCTATTAACAAACCACTGGAATTGATTGAGTTTCATTTTATATCTTTATTTTCTGGGGCTATTTTGTTGTATTCCTCCCAGAGTCCACAGGCTTGGCAGCAAGGCCAGGCAACTTTCCCACCTTCCTCTGACCTGAAACCTAAAAAAACAGAAATAAAATAAAACTGTGGGTATTCTTTGAATTGTGGTAAAATTCAAGCCACTTTGACTGTGTATCTCCCTCCCCTATGTTTGAAGAGGGTGTCATCTTTTAGTATTTCTTTTCTGGAGCATCAGGTTTGAAAAGGGAAGCATTGGCTGCCTAGACTGAGACTCAGCTCTTCATTTACCAAATCTTTCTGAGTCATATTTTGTAACATGTCTTAGGAAAGAATCCATTTTGCTTCAGTTTTTCTGGGACAAGGTTTCCTGCTTCTACCCCCAGAGCTTCATTACAGGCGTGCACCCCCATACCCGTGCTTCTGTATCTCACTCTTGAATGGCCAGGCCTTTAGGAGTTACAGATTTCTGTTTTTCACTAGAAGCCTTTAAGACATTTTTGAATTGTGTGTTGTGTGTGGGTGGGTGTATGCAGGCATGAGCACAGAAGAGATCAGAAGAGGGCTTTGGATCCCAGAGCTGGCGCTGCAGGCTGCTGAGCTGGACATGATGTCAGGAACTGAAGCAGGTCCTCTGGAAGAGCAGGGTGAACTCAACCCCGTGCCACCTCTCCAGCTCCAGAGCAACCTTTAACATTTTAAAAACTCTGTTTTGCTTTTCAAGACAGGGTTTCTCTGTGTAGTCCTGGCTGTCCTGGGAATCTCTCTGTACACCAGGCTGGCCTCGAACTCAGAAATCCACCTGCCTCTTCCTCTCCAGTGCTGGGGTTAAATGCTTGCACCACCACCACCTGGCTGCAGCCTTTACATTTTTTTATACAGGCTTAAGTTTTGCCTTCTCTCTCTTAGGTCTAGAATGAATCATTATGCATTCTCGGTTGCTTTTTATTAAAGCACAACTTTTTAATTACTGCCCTCCCTCCAACATCCTAAGTTAAAATCAATTTTATACAAGTGTCAGTACATTAGCATACAAAGTCTGGCACACTGCACTGTGCTGTACAGAGAGGGTTGTACTTTTGCTTTACAGCCACTGGCTGAGAGAGCTCGAGGTCTAAAGAATTCAAGTAAACGTGAGTGTCAGACTTGAATCTGAACCGTAGCAGTCTGCCTTCAGAGCCCGTGCTGCTCCAGTTAGGCACGACGGCCTGCTGAGGGGCTGTCACTAACAATGTCGCTTCACTGTTTTGTGTGTTACGTGTCTTTCATTTTCCCTTGCCAAAGTACGTATTTTAAAGCAACATCTAGTAACTTTCAAAGATTGAATCTCATCTATCATATTTGAAAATTAGGTTGGCTAGGCATCTTAGATTCAAGTCTATTCATATCATAGGATTTTCAAGACCCCCCCCCCCCCCCCGGGCAGGATATCTTATATTCTAGGCTGGACTGTAGCCAGCGATGGCCTTGAACTCCTGATCTTCCTGCCTCTACTTTGATTATAGGTGTGGGCAACCGTGTGTAGTTTTTATGTGGTACTGACTATCAAACAGAGGGCTTCATGCATGCTAGACCAGCACCTCAACTGAGCTCCCCCAGCCCCCATTTCAATCTACCGTTAATTTTTAAAGAGAAACTTATGTCATTGCTCATGCTTCAGAATTTCCTACCTGTTTCTCTGCACCGTCCCCCGCCATCCCCAACCCCCCATATTTTTCATCCCATCTTTCAGTGTTGATTCATTCCTAAAGTGTTCAAGCCATTTGTTCTGGTTCCTTTGCTGTGCTGGGCATCAAATGTAAGGTCACAGGTGCACAGCAAGAGCTACACTGAGCTGTACCCCAACCCCTCCTCCTGCTTATCATGTTATCTATTCTCTCTTTGGTTCTTCAGTGATCTCATAAAATGTGTATTCATCGTATTTACTCCAACTCCTCCCAGATCCAACCTTCATTTCTCATCCACCTAAACTGTGCCCTTAAAACAAACAAACAAACAAACAAAACTCATCAGATGCAATGTGTGCTGCCCCTATACTTTGGGAAGTGTGGCATTCCAGTGGCGTGTGCTGACTACCACACCCTGGAAGAAAACAGACTCCTCCTCTCCCAACAGCCATCAGCTGCCATTAGCGTCTTAGCTGGGACTTCTCATTCACTTCCACACTCCATCTGGGATTTTGTCTGGCTTGAGTTGCACATGTCCTGCGCATGTCACAGGCTGTGAGTTCCTAGGTGCCTCTCCTCTTTTAAAGCTGGAGTGGTTTACACACAGAAAAGCACACGAATATGGACGGTATAGTTTGATATAGCCACCAATCAGATACAAAGAACACGTCAGCAGCCCGGCCAGTCTTTCTCGTGCCCTTCACCAAGTCTGTTTTGACCTGAACTCTGCAGGAAATCTCATTCTTAAACTTGCATCATATGGTCCTGTTATTTTGTATCTGGTGGGAGCCATGTTTTTTGTTGTCATTTGTTTCGTTATTCGTTATTGCTGTTTTTTCCAAGACAGGGTTTCTCTGTGTAGCCATGGCTGTCCTGGAACTCACTCTGAAGACCAGGCTAGCCTCCAACTCAGAGATCTGCCTGCTTCTGCCTCCTGAGTGCTGGGAAGGTGTGCACCACCATGGCCCTGCTTTTTTCTTTTTTTCTTTGTTTTGGTGTGTGTGTTGGGGGAACCATGTTTTAATGTTCTTTCCAAGTAGAAACTTGAAGAGAAGCTAGAGTTCTGGATGGATAAATTTGATAAAGACACAGAAGCAAAACAGAACGAGTTAAATGCTCTCAAGGCTGCCAAGGCCACTGACCTGTCACACCTTCAAGAACTCGCCAAGATGGTAAGGGGTGACAGGTGATCCTGGGGAACCAGTGGGAGCCAAGCTAGCTGGGAAGACGGGTGTCCTGGGCAAAAGGAGAGGTGCTTCTCTGAACCATGGGATTCTCTGATGATGACAGTAACGACAATGATGACAGACTGATCCCACCACCAATGCTGGGATGATTCTGTCCCAAGTACATTTTTAATTTTTGCAACAGGGTCCCCGTAGCTCAGGCTACCCTGGAGCTCATTATGTAGGGATCTTCCTGCCTCAGCCTTCCAGCACTGAGATCACAGGTGTGAGCCACAGTGCTCTGGCCAGGGACTTTACTTGCATTTTAGGTATAAATTATTTAAAACTCCTTGAGAGATACATTGAAAAAACAAAAAACCCCAACAACTGTATGGTCCCTTAAAGACAGTTTATAAATGTTGATCTGTAAAAACATGAGTTCATCATTGGGTAGAACTTCTTAAATGTGTAGTTTAGAACATGCCCATTTGCTTACTACATTCTATTAATGTTTAAAAATATTATCTTGAGGTCAATAATGAGTAATGTGTTCATTTAGTTTTAAAACAGAATCTCAGTATATTGACCAGGTTAGCCTTGAACTTGTTCCAATTGTCCTGCCTCTGTCTCCGGAATGCTATGATTACAAGTGCCAGTATGTCTGACTTAGTGTTTCATCTTCATTTTAAAGCTCAGCTTTCAATTGTTTAAAGTGGAGGAAAAAAAAAAAAAAGGAGGGATAACTACCTAATGTGAATACAAAAAGTCTGGTAATCTAGCAGGAATTTTTTTGCTACAGACACTTGCTATGTGGACCAGACTAGCCTTGGTCTTTGATCAGTCCTCCTGCCTGTGTCTCTTGAGTAATAATAATATTAAAATCTTCTGGGGTTATTGGCACGTGGGGCTGGCTGGCTGGCTGTGGCCAGACTCTGCTGTGTTTACTTGTGCAGATCCGGGAGTATGAGCAGGTCATTATTGAGGACCGGCTAGAAAAGGAGAGGTACAGGAGGAAGATGGAGCAGGATGAGTTGGAGCTGAAGAGCATTGTGAAGGTAGGACACTGGGGGTGGAGGGGCCAGCACTGGGCGGGCGCAGGGTGCTCAGCAGGCATCTCTGCAGCCCCCGCCCGGGTGGGGGCGTGCCCGTGTCCATGGTGCAGGGAGGCAGCTGACAGGGGAGGAGCGAGCCTGGCTCCTGATCTGGGGAGGGGAGGCGGGCAGCGAAGCACAGCCTCTGCCATCAAACCCGAGGAGGTGACTCCTACCTGGGTGTGACAGCTATGACTTCCTGTAAGTCAGCCCGCCCTGGCTGGGTGATGCCTTCCAATATAAATTGCTTAAAAAAGTGGAAGGGACAAAGCAAGTTAGAAAAAAAAAAAAAACAAAAAAACAAAAACACATTTAAAACTTGTTTTAGTTTAATAATCTTACTTTTTGTGAGACAGTGTCTCCACAGCCCGGACTGAGCTGGTGCTCACTAGCAGCCTGCTAGTGTTCCCTCCTCTTCAGCCTCTGAAGTGTCGGGGATTATAGATGTGAGCAATCAAGGCCTGGCTGACAGAGCAAACTATCTCATAAAGTTTCCTGTGAACACACATTAACAATGACAACGTGACCCATTCCAGATGCTGGAAAATATTTTTAAAATTCATTTTTACTTTTAGTCATGTATATGTCTGTGTGTGGGTGTGTGCACAGGCGTGCAGGTGCCCACCGAGGCTGAGAGGCATCAGAGTCCTTGGAGCTGGAGTTACAGATGGCTGTGAACGCCTAGATGTGGGTGTTGGGGAACTGACTCAAGTCATCTGCAAGAGCAGTATGTGCTCTAACTGCTGAGTCATCTCCCAACCCTGAGAAAATACTTTTAAAGTAGTAACTGTAATGCAAAAAATAGCTACTACTTTGAAAAAAAAAAATGCTGCCTGGAAGAGCATCCTTCAGGGGCCCTGGTGGGAAGGAATTTGACCTGTAGTGGGGGAGGCAGGTTCTGCCTGTGAGGCGCCCCCCTGGCCACGTGCTGGATTACAGGCATGCACCACCACACAAGGACCAGTTCTCTTTTGTTTTGTGGTCCTGGGTGTCAAGCCCAGAGCTGCTAAGTGTTTTATCAGTAAGCCACAACCACAAGTCCCAAACGAGAACTCTGAAGTACTTTGAGGACCAGGTATCGAAACTCACCTTTAGCTGGTGATACATGGTAGTGGCGCACACCTTCAGTCCCAGCCTCGGGAGACAGAGGTCAGGCCGATCTCTGGGAGTTCGAAGCCAGCCTGGTCTAGGGTGGGTTCCAGGGCAGCCATGGCTACACAGGGGAACCCTGTCTCAAAAAGCAAAAACAAACCAAAAACCTTTTCATCATTGATTTCCCTATTAGGAAAATCTGGTGTATAATTAGCCAATGTTGATTAAGCTTCGGTTTTCCATTTGTCAAGATTCAGTTCTGAAGGAAGAATCGAGATGGCTTTTGTTGTCATTGTGGCTTCATGTGCCCAGTAGGCTGGTCTAGACTGTTGGGGGCAGCTGCACCACACTGACAGACATTCCAGGGGCTCCCTAGAGACTTCTCAGTGCGGCCCTGACCGAGCACGCCTGACAGGCATCACTCCCTCTGCAGCCATGGCTGCAGGTGTGAGGTGTTCGCCACGGGAGCCAGCCCTACCCAGAAGTTGGGGCTCCCAGTGTGAGGGAGAACTCGGCCTAGCACACTTCATTTTCACTCTCACCCAGGAACAACAGGGTAGCCATTCTGAAGTAGCCACACTGACGGCAGCCCAGCCACTCCCCCGTCTCAGATGTTCAGACACAAGCGAGTGTGGGTTCCGGTGTGTGGAAAGGTGGAAGTGCTGCTGGGCACACTGAGATGAACTCCCTCTCTTCTTCCTTGCAGCTCCAGGCCTGGTGGCGAGGTACAGTGGTCCGGAGGGAAATTGGAACTTTCAGACTGCCCAGGAGAGAGAAAGATGACAACAAAGACTCGAAAGGCAAGGAGAAGGAGAAGCGGAGAGGCAAGAAGTGACGTTTCTGCTGCTCTTCCCTCTGGCCTGGAGCTGTGCGGTGTTGCCACAGCACTCGCGTGTGGGCTCCCCGGACGCCCACGGAGCTCACTGTGCCCGCTCCCATGGTTTCCAGAGCCCGAAGGAGGGCTGTCACGTGGCTGCGGGACCTCTGCAGACTCTTGAGGAAGCCATGCTGAGTAGCTTTGTGGCCATTCCTCTTCTTCTTTGTCACCCGAAAGCTGAGAGGGATGCATTAAAAACTCCTATGCTATCTCGGAATCTGATTTTATGCCATAATATTAAAGTGGAAAACGGTTAGAAGCAGAAGTGAAATAGTCGGCGGGAATTATCAGAGCACCACCTAGCATGATATGAGTGCACAGGAAGCTAGCAAGCGTCTAGGGCTGGTGGCGACAGGCACAGCGCGTACCTTTTACATAAGCAGTCCCAGCGGCCTTTCCGGGCATAGGGAGGGATGGAAGTGGCTGACACGAGACAGACATGGAGTGTGGACACACAGTCCTCCAGTGGTAAAGACCGGGACATGGGTTCTCCAGGAGGCTAGTTTACAGATGTTTGTCAAGCGGGGCCAACTACGTCCATCATGTAGGATATTACCACTTTTAAAGAAACAAGACTGGTGGAAACTAGCCTGTGTGGCATTCAGCAAAGCTGGCTGTCCACTGCTCTCCCTTATAAGCATCGAGCCCACTGGGTCATTCTTGCTTTAGCTTTCGGCGCGGCCGTCTCCTGTCTCCACCCCCTGCCTCTGCTTCTTTCTGTGTGTGCATGATGTGCTCCGGTGCACCTGCAGAGGTCAGGGAACAACTCCCTGGACTCAGTTCTCTCCTTCCACTTTTTATGTGTGTGTGTGTTGTTCTCAGGCTCAAATTCAGGTTGTCAGGCTAATCTTGGAATTCACTGTGTAGACCGGGTGGCCTTGGCTCACAGAAATCTGCTTACCTCTGTCATTCTGTGTGCTGGGATTAAAGGCACACACCACCACAACTAACTTGTTCCTTTAAATAAATAAATAAATAAATAAATAAATAAATAAATAAATAAATAAATAATAAATAGATAGATAGATAGATAGATAAATAAATAAATAAATAGAGCGTGTGGGCATATGGGAACATGTATGCTAGCAGGCACACTCTGACTGCACTGTAGCCCAAGCCTGAGCTGAACCTTTTAATCCTGCTGCCGCTGCAGGCCATCTTACTATCTGTACCTCTTTAAGAAAGTGAACATTAACCGCAGAGGCGTATTTTAACAAGGTTTGCTCCTTAGCGATCCAGATCAAAGCCTTTCCTTGCTTTGTCTTTGCCGATGAAACCATGCTTTAGGCTGGAACATTTCAAGTGTTTTATTACATGCTACTGAAGTATTGGCTTTTATTTTAATGGTCCACATATAAGATGACATACAAGCAATTTAAAATAACATACACAGTATTGACATATTTATACTTAGAACTTGGACAAAATATTTACAGACATACAAATATAGGACAATGTTTACAAAACTTTTTACTAATTACATGTTTATAACATTTCAGAAATACAGTCTGCTGTAAACCATCTCACTGCAATGTGTCTATAAAAGGCTTCTACATAACCAAGTTTTCCTTCATTTCTACAACCATTTTAGTACTTAGTTCTTAAAAATCCATCAAACTCATCAGCTTATCACATGTTATTAGTCCTTGCTGACTAGAGGAAGCCAAAGAAATGACAGGCTTCTTGATTAGTTGCAAGGGTGTATTTACAGAGCTGCTGGTTGGGAAACACCCACTGCTCCACCTTTTCTAGCCTGTTCTAGCCCGACACAAAGGTTCCTCCTCCCCAGAGTCCATCAGACCTGCTCATTACAGGAGAATCCTGGTTGGAGCGCTAGGCAGAGATGCCACCCGGAGCCTGGAGACTGCTGACATAAAATCTCTGTAGGTGGCAAGGCAGGGCTAAGCAGGCACTTGCCTTATCCATGTTAGCACTGGCCAGGTAGCTGTTTCCAGCCAGGGGACTAGGACACAGCTAACTCTGTCTTCTGCTGGAGTCCAGCATGGTTAAATATACAAATGAACTGTCCTTTCCAATTTGGAAACGTATAGAAAGACACAGGCCTCACAAAGTCCTGACTTGTGTGGGAGTGCAGCACAGCCTTCGAGTTACTGGCTTGCCAGCACTGCGCAGCTCCTTCCTAGTCACTCAAGTCTGCGTTGGTGTGGCAACTGAAACACTGGAATGTCCTCATCTTTCTGAGATAGGGCCTCACTATGGAGCCCTGGCTTGCCTGGGTCTCACTAGGTAGACCAGATCTCCCTCCTCTGCCCCTCAAGAGCTGGGATTAAAAGGCACGTGCCACCATGCTCGCAATGTCAACTTACTCTTAGGAACTCTTGTAGCTACTGCAAGTGTTATAATGGGTCATTTCTTCTGGACTCATTTTCTACACATTTAAAATCCAGACTTAAGGAATTATGCCGAGGGTGAATGCTGGTTAAAAGGAAAGTGCATCTCCTGCTCAGATGGACGGCTGGTGTAAGTGAGCTCTGCGGCTGCTGCTCAGTCTGAACTGCTGATGGGCAGAGCTGGGCTCTGAGCTGGGCTGCTGTTCTGTGAGGACCACGGCGGGTTGGGCAGGAGCGCAGATGCCTTCTGGTACACTTATTTACTCTTTCTTAAGGTCTTGCTGAGTAGCCCAGGCTGGCCTTAAATTCATGACCTCCTTGCCCTAGTCTCCTGAGTTACAGGCATGTGCCACCATGCCTGGCTGCTGTTACCTGCTTCTGAACTTGGACAAAGTGGCACTGTCCAAATAAACACTTCTCTGCACTAACAAGGAGAAAGCATTACTTTGACCAGATACTCAAAATGATTTTGTTCAAAGTCACTTTTAGGGAAAGGCTATATATTCTTAAATATTACGCATACAAATGTGTATGTGTGCTCTGTCTGCATGTACACCTGCACGCCAGAAAGAGGGCATTAGATCCCACTATAGACGGTTGTGAGCCACCACGTGGTACTGGGAATTGAACTCAGGACCTCAGAAGAGCAGCCAGTATTCTTAACCCCTGAGCCATCTCTCTAGCCCCAAATTTATCTATGTATTTTTTTTTTTTTAAATACAGGAGTTCTCTGCATGTTCACCTACATGCCAGAAGGAGGGGATATATATTTTTAATATTCATTTTTATGTGTATGAGTGTTTGTTTTACTTCGTGTTTGTATGATTCATGTGTGTGTGTGTGTGTGTGTGTGTGTGTGTGTGTGTGTGTGTGTGTGCCTGGACCTGTGGAAGCCATCAGAGTGCCTTAGACCCTTAGACTTGGAGTTACAAGCAGTTGTGAACTGACTTGTGGGTGTTGGGAACTGAATCCCGACCCTCTTTGCAAGAGCAGCAAGTGCTCTTAACTGCTGAGCCAGCTCTTCAGCCCCAAAGTAATGTAGCCCGGGTGGACTGTAGGTGGTCCCTGCCTAGCATGCACCCCAAATCCTGATCCTCCAGCTTCCACTTTAGAATGTCTGGAATCACAGGCTTGTGTGCTTCTCTGCACCTTGGTGCTGGGAATGGAAACCCTAGTCCAGTATTTAAGCTATCTGGGCTCTAAATGCAGTGAACACCAAAGACAACTAACAACTAAAAGGGCAAAACCTAGGGAAGGAAAACTTCGGTGCTTAAATTGAAATAAAGATGCCTACTTTGTACTAGAGCCCTAGGCCCTTCTGCAATCTGCTCACAGCTATGTGTAAGGCACAGTTGGAGGATCTGGGAGGGACCGAGGAGAGAGAGACAGGAAGCTGCTCTGAGTGTGGAAACTGGCTGTCAACTGCAAGTGCTGTTAGCAATTTGGCTTCCTTCAGTCCTTCGGGCTGTGTATCCTGTGTTCCGGGAGCAGGGAGTTGTGAGTGTGCCTGGTCTGGGTGCCCGGATCAGCATGGCAGGCTCATGGAGGCAAATGCAAACACTGCTGGGTAGCACGTTACCTTACGGCTTAGAACTGTGGAGTGGGCCTAGCAGGGCAAGGCACACAGCCACACTCTAGAAAAAGATGGGTGGTGGGCTGGGCTGGGGAGGGGCCTGCGCTCTGGCTTTAAAAACCTGTTACACTGTGTAGAATCTAGAGCTCCTCTATGGTTTTGTTCTCTCTGACAGCAAAGTCCAAGTCATCATAATACAGACAGCCTTTGATTTAAATGTGGTTGAAAACTGCAGTCGGGTTGTTACCCTCAAACCACGTAACTATGTGTCTCAGAATAGCAGTCTCTATTGCCTGAGAAACACCTATAAATGTCTGCGGAAAATGCAGGTTCCCAGGCCACAGCCCACCCTTTGATGCAAACCTGGATTTCACAAGTGCTCTAGGAGAACGAAGGCCAACTGTGGAAACCAGTGACACCCCGGGAACTGGCAGAGATAATAGCATGTCTGTCCTTTGAGAGCTAAATACCCGGCTGTGAAGGCACTGGTTCTGGCATGGAATAGAAACTTGCTCCCCATGAAGAAAAGCACAGCCAGCTTAGGCTTCCATGGTGGGTCCTCAGTAATCAAAGTTCCACTTTAGAAATTGTGTCTTCATTCAAAACAAAACAAAACAAAACAAAAATAGTGGCGATGGGTTTAATCTCCCCTAAAATGGAGAAATGGAACAAAACATTCCTGGCAGGAATCGTGAAGACAGGGTGTCTAGGAACACACGGGGTTGTCTGAGCAGGCGGCGCCAGCACTCGCGTCCTCCTGCTCCTTGTTTTGGCTGTGCCAGCACCCGGGGCCCTGGGATTCCTCAGACAGCAGAGAGCTGTGGCTGCTGCAGCTGCTTGGGTGGGGCAAGTTCCAGGAGAGCCTGGACCGTCACTGCAACCTGGCTCAACCCTTTCTCTTCTAAAATGTGCAGAGGCAAACATAATTGTTCCTAAAAGGGGACAACGTAACATAAACAAACAGAAAGAAAACAGGGTGAACATCACGGAACTGAAAGAACACGGGCACTTCCGCCCCCACCTCATCGTAATCAAGGGAGAGATGGCGAGTTCCTGGCAAACCCACCCTGCTAACAGAGGCAGACACGGGTGGTGTTGAGCGCTCAGGGTCACTTTATTAACACGAAGTCTACACAGAAGATTGACAGGTGACACATTTACACAGCAGAGGAGGAACAGAGCTCTGTGCAGAAGCCACACTGACTAAAGATCAGCGCAGACTTACAGACAGACAGCATGGCTCAAGTGGAACACAGGGTTGACAGACAGCACTCTGGGAAGGAAATCACACACAGCAGGGACACAACATGGTTTTGTGAATGACTGTAACAGCAGGAAAGGGAGAGGGGAAGCCTAAATCCAAATTAGTTAAAAATCAGATTTAAAGAGAAAATTGTGTTTTAGCTGAGTGTGTTTGATCCTAGGACTTAGGAGATAGAGCCAGGCAGGTCTGTGAGTTCAAAGTCAGCCAGGGCTACACAGTGAGTCTTAAAAACTGTATTTGAGAGAGGAAACCAAGAAAATTTTAAGTACAGTGTATTTTCCAGCTTCCCATCTTTACACCAAAATAAAGTATTGACACTCACACATAAAAAACCAAAAAACTGTATTTGAAAAAGTAAAGTATTTCACATCACAGAATCCAGCAGGTTGGATTGTGCTGGAGAACTATATATGTGAGCTTTCAGCCTAGTAACTGACTGCCTGTTTGGATGTATCTGCCTTGTCTGACTTAGTTCGGGTTTGTTTATTCTTGTAAAAAAAAAAGGCAGTTCTTAGCATAGCACTTATTGTCTTTTCTTTCTTTAAGATCAAAATTACTATTTATTTTTTTAATTAATTTTTTGTTTTATAGTTGAGAAGGGCCTTGCTGTATGGCTCAGGCTGGCCTCAAACTCAAGTGTGAGGGTATGCTCTACCACATTCTGTACATCAAACACTACAACATGAACTGTGATAAAAGGACAGCAAGTATTTGTTTTTGAGGCAGTTATTGGTACTTGAGTATAATTACTTTCCTTTTTAATTTAATGCTGATTTTGATAAAGTCACAACAATCTCTTGATTTGCTAATAAACTAGCAGTTTTGAACTAACGTGTTGAATACCTCTGCAACTAGAGAGTAGCTGTATTTAAGATGTCTGTACTGCGTGGTGGTATCACACACCTTTAATCCTGGCCCCCGGGAGGCAGAGGCAGGCAGGTCTCTGATTCTGAGGCCAGCCTGGTCTAACAAAGTGAGTCCAGGGCAGCCAGGGCTACACAGAGATACCCTGTCTCCAAAAAACTGAAAAGCAAACAGAAAGATGAACATGTGTGTTCTGGGCGTTCAGGGCGGGCGTCCTCTTCAGTTCCTGTTCCCTGTGGTCTGCGCAGCAGCACCCAGGCCTGAGTGAAGGCGAGGGTGGCGCACGGTGGTTTGGACCCCACACTGAGGTGACACTTCCACTTGGACATCAGCCTTGAGGACATTTCCTAGGAACCCACCACTGCCAGCCTAGGCCACAGAGCAGCCTCTGTGGCGGGTTTTTTTGTTGCTGGTGTTTTTTTTTTCTTTTAAAAACAAGGTTTTGCTATGTAGCCTAGGCTGAACTGAAACTCAAAGCAATCCTGTTTCAGCCTCCTAAGTGCTGGGATTACAGGTTTATATCATCAGACCTGGCTTTAAGCCTGACTGTGTGTGTGTGTTTGTGTGTGTGTACATGCGCATGTGTGTGAAAGGACAAAACTCTTTAAGACAGAACTCAGACAACAATCCTGGATTCCAAGATGCCTAAAAGCACACTCTGGAAGGCACTACTGTATAACACTGCAGTCTGTCACTGCATCAGCATTAGCAGCGGACAGTAAAGAATAGCTCACTTCAGACAGAAGTAAATGAGGGTAAGCAGGTGCCCAGGTGGGCTACAGGAGGGTTGATGTTCCTGGCAGGCTCCCTTAAGCAGCCGCCCAGTTCTGCAATAGAGTGTGGAGACACCATTTGCGGAGTGGCAATCTGAACGCAGCAGTGTTCTCTGCCCTGGGTCCAGAAGCTATCTACTGAGCATCCCGAGCGCGAACTGAAATCACTGGACTACAGTTCACATAGTGCTCACTATCTAAGAAACACAAGCTCACCTAGAAAAATGGCTCAAACATGTTAGAAACAACATGCATTCCAAACATCATTCTTTTGTTTTTGTTTCAATTATTTTTATTTCATATGCATTCATGTTTTGCTTGCATGTATGTCTGTGTGAAGGTGTTGGACCCCTGAGATTGGAGTTACAGGCAGTTATGAGCTGCTATGTGGGTGCTGGGACTTGAACTTGGATTCTCTGGAAGAGCAGCCAGTGCTCTTAACTGCTGAGCCATCATCTCTCCTGCTTGTCACATTCTAACAGGGTTCTAGCAGGGGATCTGTTACAGGCAGCACACATGGCAAGCATGACCACCTCTTCTCAGATGCAGACTCTGGCCAGCTGCTTAGTGTACACTGTCTTAAAAGGACACAGTGGGCTCAGAACAGCAGTCTGGGGAACCCCCCAGTGACTTTAAACTAAAAATCCGTACCAAACTAACATCAGTAGTTTAAATGCTCTCTGCCTTCTAAGTGTTCAAACACTTAGAATTAAGGGCAAGTTAGGATTTCAGGGCAGAGACCCAAGTGACAGGTACTCCAAATAAGAAAGGGTCACAGTATTTTCATGCTGAGCAGCTGGTAAAACGGCTCAGACACTCATTACTTCAAAATTGAAGTTGTATCACAGTATAAAAAGATGGTCAAAGTTCTCCAGGGCTCAGGACTACATTAACAGATACGCCTTAACCTTTCCCATATGAGAAACAAGGCCACAGGGTAAGTGGGAAGCAAGTGACTAGGAGAGAGAATGCTGATCCTCTCTGGCAGCCGGCTTAAGTGCCTCCATGCGATGCTCTGCCCCTCGGGACAAGGGACAAACAATGCACCTTCTCAAGTTAGACTCTGAAAAACACGCTCGTGTCAGCAATTCTGATTGAGAAACAAACCTTCGCCAAGCACAGGAAGGAGGTGGAAGGCACCGGCTGCACGGTCAGCTATAGGGGAAGACCCGGTAATAAAGCACACAGAGAGTTAACATTAAAGCACAGTAAAATGCCACAAAACCCAGAAGCTGGACAGACACACAGACAAAGCTCGATTCTTCTGCATGTGCCCCAAGAGAAAGCAGAGTTTCGACAGTTCTTTTAACGCTGAGGTTTAGTTGAAGGATGTCGGAAGGGGAACAGAGATTGTCCTGTCCAAATGTGAGCAGGAAAGGAAAAAAGAAAAACAAAGTCAGTGGAGAAAATATGAGCCAGGTACAGAGCTCAGTAAAACCATGTCAGCAACAGTCAGACCCTGCAGCAGTTTATCATTAGTAAGAAAATGCAGAAAAACAAAACTGTGGGCTCATCAATGCACACAAAATTTTCTGCTGAGTGACAGAATGAAGCTTGCTCGTTGGAGGCTGGCTACTAGCACTAAGGGGACAATGGACAGAGCTGGCTTGTATTCAGCACTGAGCGAGTCCTGAGAGTGGGAAGTGGCCTCATCTCAATTCTCACTCTTCCTTACTGTTGAGGAGAGAGCAGGGCAGAGCATGAGATGCTGACTAGAGTAGGCTAATCATGAAGCCAGGCAAACTACAGATGCTCAAAGACTGAGGCAAGCTTTACAGTGAAAGAGGTTTACTATGGAGGAGTCAGGGGCACTGACCAGACATCAGATCAAGTCCATCGTCCCTAGATTCAGGTCACTAGACACCCGACAGAATGGAGGGAGCATCTAAAGTATGAGTGGACTCAACCTGGAAATAGTGTTTAACATGTACAAAAACTCTAGGATGTAAGACAGTGGACTCAAATACAAGTTTATTTTAAACTGTAAAACATTTAATAAAAGCATAGTAATAAAATGAATATTCATAAACTCTCCTATCCAGAGGCTTTCGTAGTTTATTTTTCAGTGATGCCTTCACATTCTGAGGGTGAGCTGGGGATGGACCTTACAAAAACACTCCACCCTTACTACATCCCCAACCCATTTTCCTTTATAATTTGACTCATTTTTGTTTAACATTTATCTTTTTTTAAAATCTGAAACTCACTATACAGCTGAAGATGACCTTGGACCCCAGGTCCTGCTGCCTCCACTTTCCAAGTGCGAGGTTTTGGGCATCTCCACCACAGTGGACTCACAGTTCACTCTGCACACCACTTTTCAGTTATACTGAGAATTATCTTCATACTTATCTTTTACCTGGGCCCAATTCTGACAGACTTAAATATGAAGATCGCTGTTTTACAGTCTGGTTAGGGCCAGAAGGAAGTGAGAACAAAGCAAGGCTGAGAATGCTAGCTTGAAGCTGTCATTGTGAATTTGTTCCTTATCCTTCACTGTGTCCAGAAAGATAACTCACTTTCTGCAAAGTAGTAGCCAACCTAGAACTCATCTGAAGATGGTGGAGAAGTGGGTGGGAAGGCAGAAGGAGACAGGGAAGAGGTGGTTGGGGTGGATGCCCACTTCCTCTTTCTGGCAGAGAAGATGGGGCCAGGGTTGTGGATGCAGAGAACCCCAGCCTAACCACCCTGAAAAAAGGTCAGTTTCAAACTGTACTTTTTCTACCTCTGTATCTGCTTCAAAAAGCTCAGTTCAGGTAGAACGCTGGCTCCGCCGTAATGAACACTCGTAAGCCCTGCTTAGAAAATGCTGACTTAAGCACATGCTTTCAAGCACACTATTTGTATACTTTGCTGACAGCGGCAGGCAGTAACAATCTGAAGGAGTTCTAGGTTACAGACTTTACATCTGAGACAAGAGGGCTCTAGAGCCTGGCAGGCAGCTCTGATGTGTAGAAATGGTGCTGAGGAGAGCTCTTGGCAAATACCAGCATGGCAGAGGCAGTATGCTGCTGCTTTCTGTATTCCCACGGTCTGCACTACTGCAAGCCGCAGGCTGTGAAACTCCAGCAGGCAGCAGGCATGCTGACTAAGACAGAAAAATCTGGATGCTAATATGTGCACATACAGACATTAGGACTTTCACTGTAGAGAGAATACAAGCCAGTTCTCAGAAAACATGGCAAATGGTCTCAGTATGTGCAAAATGGTTTCATAAGCTTTTATAAAACAATGATATAAAAATGAAAAAATTCTAATTTGAATTTGTCCATAAGGATAAAAATGTCTTACCTGAATTTAGAAAAGGGGAAAACCCAAACCCACAACAGAGCAGAAAATAACAATGGCCTAACAAACAGGTGTGGAATCTATGCTGGCTAATGCGGATGCAGGTGGGAACTGGCTTTCTTTTCCACTCTGAACCATGTGAAGCTGGAATGAAGGGTGCTTGCTGGCTACACGCTGCTGTGGCCTCTTGGCTCTTGGCCAGTTAGAGCAGGATGGTGGACTGGATGAAAAGCATCACTGGGAGGCTATGAGGGTTAAACAGGGCTTAACCTGGAACAAAACTGGTGTTTCTGATGGGCCCAGGAGCCAATGCTAGGTTTCTGATGGAAAGGCCTGTGTTTTTCTCTCTGCAGACTAGACAAAACTAAGGCTTAGAGAGTTGGGGGTGTGGCTCAGTGGCAGAACATGTGCTCAGCAGAGCATGCAGGAGGCTACCATCCCAGCAAGAAAATAAAAGAAGAAAAGAGAAACTGCCAATCACAGTACAGCAAGCCGCTAATTTCTTTGCACTATTGCTAAGCATGGTGGAGTGCATCACAGTTCCAGCACTGGAGGCTTAGGAGGGATGGAAGCCGGCCCAGGGTGCAACCTGAACAGAATGCTAGATCAAGGAGCCCATGTCCCCTATCATCCAAAAACTCAGCAGTTTTCAACTGCTCTTCAAAAGGGCCAAAGAGCAGATAAACACTCCTTTTCTGATTAAGTCTATAAATAATGCTTAACTGTAGTACTATCAATGGCAGGAAACACAAGAGAGCTGATGTTCTCCACAGTCCTAATGTTGTGACCCTTTAATACAGTTCCTCATGTTGTGGTGACCTCTAACCAAAGAATTATTTTCATTGCTACTTCATAACTGTAATTTTTCTACTGTTATGAATTGTAATGTAAACAAACTTGTTTTCTGATGGTCTTATGTCACCCCTAAGAAAGTGTCATTTGAACCCCCAAAGGGTGTGACCCACAAGTTGAGAACTGCCACAAAAAAAGAACCATGGAAGCACTGTCTCCTTATAACAGAACATGTGCTTACAAGTGGTCCCCAGTGTGCTAACTTCCAAAGGACTGCAGCCTTGTGAAAAATGGGAGGAAGTTGACTTAACCCTCTAATCTGGTAATAGGACTCTCATTTGGACCACCTCGTTGTGCAACTATACTCTCTGCATCTATGACGATGGCATATGGAAAATTTGGGTGAAATATACATAAGAACTCTGCTACTTCGTAACATTTTTTGCAGTCTAAAATCATTCAAAATTATATATGTATTTAAAATGTATTTAAAGAAAGTGTTAAAAAGCTGTAGCCAACAAAAGAAATCCCAATCTGAAAGGTACTTGTGTGAAAACATTCTGTTATATGTAGCTATACTTTGGTCAAACAGGGAGTAGGATGCTTAAGAAAATAAAACAATAATTTTTCACTTATTGGTTATAAAACGATTATGTAAATTAAGACTTAACAGCCTCTTAAAGACCCTTAGAAATGAGGGGAGCATGAAAGAATGTTGCTGGCGAGAAACTGACAGTCTTGTAATAACACATGGTGTTCGTAGTGATCACTTAGTTCGTAGCTACTTCTGGTAATAAGAATTTTACACACACACACACACACACACACACACACACACACACACGTTACCTGAGGTACCCCGATTTTTTTGCAAGCATCTAGGAAGTTCTCCACATTTCGCCTGCATTTTGCCATTGTTAATTTAGGCTGTAGGGAAGACAAGAAAAGAGGGAAACTGTGTTACCAACAAAGATAAAAATATTCTTGCCAGCTGCTTCATATACTTACTGCTAAGCACACTAGGGGCTCAGCAAACTTCCTTTTATAAAAGATCAAACAGTGAACACTAACCTCAAGAGCCACAGAACTGTTGCCACTACTCAGTTCTGACAGGAACACGAAAGCAGCCACAAGGGATGCTAAGCACGCACTCTACCATTGAGCTACCTCCCGACCAGCCACAAGGGAGGGACAGTCCAGTGGAGCTGCATTCCAATAAAACACTATTTACCGAAATAGGTGCTGGCCTGGGAGAGGAGTTTGCCACCTTCTAATATTTGTATTTGCTTTGGTTTAGCAGGGAAAGTGCCAAGAACATGTTTTTTTCATTTTGAAACAAAATAAAAAAATTGGAGAGAACACCAAGAAAGTGTGGTACCCAGAAGTTGATGGTTCAGCATGGCTACAATTAGCAGTTTATTTTCCTTTGCTTTATTATTTTTTCTCCCTAATTTATTTATTTAATTACTTTATGACCTGATCACAGGCCACTCCCTCCTCCCCTTCCAGTCCAGAGGCAGCATCTTTCTACATAGCCCTGGCTGGCTTGGAACTCACTGTGAAGACCAGGCTGGCCTCAAAGTTACAGAGATCCTCCTGTCTCCGTCTCTCAAGTGCTAGGATTAAAAGTGTGCACTACCATACCTGGCTCTATTTTAAAATGTTATTATTTTAAAGGTGTGAGTGTTTCACTGCATGTATAGCTGTACATCAAGTGCACACAGTGCCTGTAGAGTCCAGGTGTTAGGTCCTTGGGAAATGGAGTTATGGACATGAGCTGTCATGTGGACGTTGGGAACTGAACCTGGTTCTCTGTAACAACAGCCAGCACTCGTAACAATAGCCTTAATTTTTGCATTTGACTCATTAGACACTTGGGAAATTAAACTCTTAACAATGGCTACAAAGCTACTTTACAAAAGATAAAAGGTTGATGCAGGAAATTTATTTAATTACTAATGAGTGAGCTTACTTTTCTGTAAAATCTCTGAAGACTAGAAATAAAAAGGCATGTGATATCCTCTCAAAGCTTTGTTTTTCACCTAGTTGGTTATCATGGAACATAATGTAAGAAAAAAATAGGAATTTCATATTTCAAGATGATGTTTAAGTATTTGTATGGAAGGCAGAAGTCTGCAGGGAGCATGACGCAAAGATTTTGAAATTAGTGAGTGCATGGACACCCATACCAGCTCTAGAAAACAAAAGACTTCACTTGTAAAATCTGAATTTTCTACAGACACGAAACCTAATTCCTTGCCATAAGAAGAAACAAAATAAAAGAAGTGAAAGAAAGCACTGCAGACCTGACAAAGCGGGCTGGGCTGGGATTAGCTTTGTCATAAAAGACAAAAAAGCAACCAGTGAGACGGAAGGAAAGAAACTAATCATCTCCCAGCTCTGATGGGACAACCTTCGAAGGATGTGGAAAAGACAACAGGAAGCCAGTGTATGGGGAGGCGCCTGCCCTGTCAACTCTCTCCTGCTGCCATAGACACTGTGACCAAAGCATCCTGGGGAGGAGAGGGCTTCCTTCATCTTCTCCTTCAGTCTATCATCAAGCAGGAAGGTGGGCAGGAACTCAGGACTGAAGCCGAGACCATGGAAGAATTACATTTACCCTGATTTGTTCTCCATCCATGGCTGCACAGCTGGATTTTTTTTTTTTTTTTTTTTTTCTAACCCAGGATAACCTGCCCAGGAATAGCACTGTCCCCAGTAGCCTGGGCCCTTACATCAATCGTTAATCAAGAACATGGAGCACAGATTTCTCTACAGGTCAATCTGGTAGAGGTGTTCTGTCAACTCAAGTTCCTCTTCCCAGGTGACACTGGCTTGTGTCAAGTGGACAGAAAACAAACTAGAACAGTTCCCGTCTTGCCAATGCCAGATTTTTAATGGAAGTAAAAAGGTAGGGGAAAATGAAACATAAACCTTGGAATCATCACTTCCTGGCGGCGGCAGCCACAGCTGCAGAGGAGCCTGGGCCAGTATGAAGGAGCAGGTGGGGAAACCCAGGGCTGTTCTGCTTCCATCTGTCAGGAAGTGATGATTCC